AGAACAATATTTCTCTGACCACATTGGGTGAGATACGGTATATATGCATTGATATAGTGTTGCCACTCTAGGGGTCTCTGACCCTACGGGAACTGCCAGGAGAAAAGTTCCCAACACTCATGCACGTGGTGAATGAAAACCTGAACTGCACTCGAACTAGAATTGCACTCGAGTGTGAACAAGCACTCAAAGAAGAACAAGGTCAATTTACTGTTGCCAATTTCAAGTGTTCAAAAATCATGAGTCAGATCCCAATAAGTGATATGTTCTTTAAAAAGTAAATGAATCACTTTGTTTTTAAACAGTCTTTGGATTCTTTTCTTTATGAGGGCAGGGGACTGGACTCGATGACCTCTTGAACTCCCTTCCAGGTCTAGTGTTCCATGAATCTTTCATCTTCCAGGGAATGTCTCACACTTAAACTGTGTTATCAAAACTCAATATGTGCACAAAAATATGACCTTCCTGTTTACTGATTAGAGAGGTCTCCCTAGGGACCTATTCCCTACAGTATAAGGAGTTGCCATTCAATCTCTCCATACATGGGATAGTCAGTGGTTACACTCACAATCATACTCCTTGTCCTGTCCCCGCAACTTTTGCCTATACACATTCTCCCCCATTTCTTCTTACATCTGCAAAAAATTGTGCCATGCCTTCTAGCTTCGACTACCCTGCATCTTCAGTCCCATTGATAGGAATGGGAAACAGTGGCCATCATCCTGAAGAACAAAAATTCATGAGCTGAATGCAGATATCAGAAATGCATAAGAAACAACCCCCTTCAACCAACCACACACATATCTGAGGGTATGTCTACACTGCTTTCCTCTTTCCAGAGAGGATTGCAAATGCAGCTGAGTGAAATTGCAAATGAAGTGCGGATTTGAATTTCCTGTGCTTCATTTGCATAATTGTGTCTGGCTGCTATTTCGAAATACCCTATTTTGAGATAAAAAACGCAGTGTAGATGCGGTTATTTTGAAAGAAACCCCTTCTTTCGAAGTAACCCTTAGAGTAAGGATTATTTCGAAAGTAGGGGTTTCTTTCAAAATAACCGCATCTACACTGCGTTTTTTATCTCAAAATAGGGTATTTCGAAATAGCAGCCAGACACAATTATGCAAATGAAGCACAGGAAATTCAAATCCACACTTCATTTGCATTCCACTCTCGAAAGAGGAATGCAGTGTAGACATACCCTGAGAGGAAAGGGCATGCATTGTCCCCTATTGGAGGCAGCAAAATGGTATACTAATCCTTATTTTATGAGTCTATTTTTTGTTGTATGTGTATTTTATCCATTGTATCTTCTCAATTGGTTTAAAAGACATTAAACCATACATTTATGAAATTCAAGTATATTAAAGAGAAATAATTTGAGAAGAGATTGCTATTTTGGGAACTTTGTTTTATATGGTAAAATGAAAATTGAGTCATTGTGTCATTATGTTGCTTACTCAATGCCAGTATTCACAAGGGAAATGTTTGTATCCAAACTTCCAGGGTAGTTTTACTTTTCCACAATTCCTTTTTGAATTTAGTTTTCTTTCCAAGTTAAATAAGGAAGCTGTTTTTCAATACGAAGAGTTTCTAAATGTGAGAAAATTCTTCTTCGTGAGGAACACTACAAAAAGTAAAACTAATTCCATGTGCTTGCACAGACCTAAACAGAAAACTGCTTACACCAAAGTGACACAATAAATTATAAGACTGTGGGTCCCCAATCCAGTAACACTATGAAGACAGTGGCTCAGACAATGGTTTATTTTCTTACATTCCATTAAAAACACTAGTAATAAATTGAAGCAGTGGAAGGATGGTAAGAGGAGAGAAAAGCCATGTTAGGGTTGTGATACTATAGCAGATACTATAGCAGATAAATTTCCAGTAATCAACAGATTTTTTTACATTTTAAAATGTTCTATGCTGAACACTACATTCTATATGTTGAAAATAATATGTATTATCCATTTTTTCAACAAAATGTATGGTTTAAGGGTTTTTTCCCCATTTTTATTTGCTTTTTTTGGTAACCCCTACCAACATTTTTATTTCCCAGAAACACACTGTTGTTATCTAACACTATCCCCCACAGGTCCAGGTCCTTCCAGATAAGATAGTGAGAATCCCAGTCAGGTAATGAATTCTAGTCTTTGGGAAGCAAAGTGCTGAAGATGAAACAACTAAATGTCTTATTTTTATTCTTTCCTAACTTCTACTCTGTGCCTAATTACACACATTTTTGTATAATCCTCCTTTCCAAATAAGAGTTTTGAAATGAGCTCCCTTCAGAACTCTACCAACCTAGCAGCTGCTACTGTTTAATGAAAACTGAGTATATCCCTTTCACAAATACATGCCATGCATAGAAACACAGACTGAATCCTGGATTTAAATCCTGAACTCCCAATTAGATGTCAACAAATTTACCATTGTGCCACAAAGGTGACTCCTAAAACTTTTTATGTTAAAAATTACTTCATTTATTCTGATAGAGTGAAATTTGCCATAGCTTGCCTCAATAGTTCAAAACATTTTTTTAAAAAAACCAGCAGGACTGAAATCTCCTGCAATATAATTTTGCAAAGCATCCTTTATTTAAATGATGCCCCAAAAGATTTTTATTAACTGTGGTCAATAATTGCACAATTAAGAGATAAAGGATTTGCCTTTAACTTATGCTGTGAAATGAGTTGGACACTCATTCTAGCTTAAATTCCATTAGTCTGTTGTGCTTTTAATGACTGTCTTGATAGAAAAAAGATATTCTTAAAAAATCTAAAAACTTAGCAGCAGAAAATAAAAAGAGAACATTCTGGATTGTAGAAGTGATAGAAGCAAAGTTATGTTGCAGAAAAGCTAGTGTATTGCAGTGGTTTTCAACGTGTGATCTGCAAATCCCTGGGGACCACAAACTATGTCTAAGGGGTATCTTTTATTACCATAAAACAGTGGTTTTCAACCTGTGATCTGCAGACACTTGCAGATCCACAAACTATGTCTAAGATTTCCACAGCCCACACCTCCATTCAAAATTTTTTAGGGGTTGGCAAATGAATAAAAGATCAGTGGACTAGTACATTATAAATGGCCAACTTAAGAGAAAGCTTCAGGACCCCTAATCAATAGACTGCACTAGTGACAAACAATTGTGGATACGTAAGGGTATACTGCACCCACAGATACAAAAGCATTGTATCAGAGTCTCATCTTGTACAAATTGGTGTAGCTTCACTGATTTCAGTGATGTTATGCCAATTTATACCAACTGAAAATTTGGCATAATTAGTCTCTAATGTCTATTCAGAGTACCACATATCCACTTGTAACTGATGTTAGAGGGCTTGTCTCTTCACTCTCCTACTTTCCTGGTCTTTTTCATGTGAACAGAGAACAGCAATATGTGAAGTCCAGAGATGCAAATAAATGTGATGTTTATTGGGATTAGCTTCCAGCCCAGGATCAGCTGTGTGGTTCTGTCCCTTTGAAGTACTCTCTCTCCCCGCCCCCCTTTGCTACCTCTATCTGATAGTGGCAGCAAGGGGGAAGGGGGGGGGGAGAAATCAACTAGTTGACTCCACTATCTGATAAGCATTGCTTATTGGTTAGTTGACTAGTCCTTAACATCCTTAATCTAGATCCTAACAACAGAGAATACTGGAGATTACATTACTGAAACTAGAGCTTGCAGGTTCACATTTGTGCTAGGGGTATTTTTTAAAATAGTTTTAAAATTCCAACTAGGAATAGAGGGAGACGAAGACAGTAGAATGCAGTTTTATTTTTGCCCCTCAAAAAGCAGAAACTAGTTTACAGGATAGAGGAGATTGTGAGAACAGAAGAACCACAGAGGCAGAAGCCAGTACATTTGTTAGCAGAATGGGAAGTGGTTCAGACCTTCTCATCAAAAGCAGTTACTAACAACAGGACACAAAGTACTGTCATGGAAGGGATCCGAACATAATAGTCATAGCTCATTTAACATAAGAAATAAGCTACTACTGACAAACATACGTATAAATACAATAATTCAAATATTTCCAAACGGAAAATAGACAAGTATTTGGAGAAAGAAGACTGCCTTATAACTTCTCAATGAACAGACGAGACTAAGAGCTCAAGAAATTTCATAGTTTCCTGCCATTCTAAAAATTCCTACACTTGACAGAGTAAAATTGCTGTCATTTTCTAGGCAGTAAATGTTTTACTGCTGGGAAAGGATTTTTATGTTTGTAACTTCTATTGAAGTGCAGTATGAAGTACTTTTCAAACAAAAATATTGCCACATCTGAGCAACAGACCAACAGGAAGCATAAGACACTTGTTCATCTGTATTTCTGTGACTTTTCTCACTTGGTATTATTTGCAACCATACTTTCATGTCTGGCATCAGATCCAACTATACTTAACATCATACATTTTTTTTACCATGTTGATTACATATGTTTGCCAGTTTTGCTGCCTACATACCACTGATGAAGTTTGCAGATACTCAATGATACGATCCAGAGTTTGACATTTTTGAAGAAAATGTGTTTACTGTAAAGTTTGCTCTTAAGAAGTTTGCTCTTCTTTATCCCTGTGATCCACATGATGTCAAGAGCCATGAATTTTGAATGTGTGCATAGCATTTACATTGTATCTATCACTTTCACACTACACTACACTACTGAGAGTTATGCTAGTCAGAAGCAGTCCCCTTTCTTCTCAGGTGATCTGAGTCTTAGCTAAATAAAACCAAGTTTCTTAAAATGCTTTCATGTGTGATCTTTACTTTCATAATGACTTGACATTTAACTTCTGTTATATATCAACACTTCACAGAAATACTTGATATGTCTGAATGAATTTGAAAGCCTGAAAGTGAAGAAAATAAAAAACCTGTTTTTGAATATCAAAAGTATTTTTACAGGCTGCATGGACCAAAATTTAATTTATCAATTAACTTCTACTACAAATGAAATATTTGTGAATTTAGATATAAGAAAAATACTTACTGGTAAATATCTTTTCTGAGTATAGCTCTGCTAAGAGGGTTGTCAGCCTGGGGAGCCATTGAGACAGACCCAATCTTGAGAATCAAAGTGTCTTCTTTTATTGCCTGATTAGCTTCAACTAAGGAGGGAGAAAACATGCATTTTTTATTTTTTATGAATTGATCTCAAGAATTGCAGAATACAGGATAATACAGAAAAAATTATATAATGCACAATGCAGCAATGTAACCACTGAGTGATAGTGTAATGATTTGCTTCAAGGAAACTGTCAACTCAAAAACCAGACCCCATCTCCTTCAGGCCTTAATCTGACCAAAATGATCTTCACTTGTTTTGGTTGCAGGCATTGAAGGGGAAATTTTTAATGGCCACTAAAAACTTTGAGCCAATTATTTTTTACCAAAACCAAAATTGGCATTGGTTTTTACAAAGCCTAAATATTAGACTTAAATTACCTCCTGTCAGTGTTGAATTAACATAATGTTCTTTAAAATGTGTGTGTGTGGGGGGGAGGGATGTATATTAAACGTCTTTTAAATATTATTTGAAAGGCTTCGGGTTGCAGATCACTAAGCTAAGTATTGCATTTTCTCCCTTTCTGACTCAAATCCTTTTTAAGATGATAGGTAACAGCCAGCATGGATTTGAAGAGAACAAATCATATCAGATCAATCTGATAGTTTTCTCTGATAGGATAATGAGTCTGGTGGATAGGGGAGAAGCCCTAGTTACACCTAGACTTTAGAAAGGCATTTGACTCGGTCTCATCTGACCTTATCAATAAATTAGGGAAATGCAACCTAGATGGGGTTACTATAAGGTGGGTGCATAATTGGCTGGACAACCATTCCCAGAGTGTAGTTATTAAGAGTTCACTACCATGCTGGATGGGCATAACAAGTGGCGTTCCACAGGGGTTTGTTTTGGGATGGGTTCTGTTCAATATCTTCATCAATGATTTAGATGATGACATAGAGAGAACGCTTATTAATTTTGTGCATGATGCTAAACTGCTTTGGAGGATAGGTCAAAATTCAAAATGATCTAGACAAACTAGAGAAATGGTCTGATTAAACTTCATCCTGTTTACCTAAGGACAAATGCAAAGTACTCCACTTCGGAAGGAATAATCAGTTTCACACATACAGAATGGGAAGTGACAGTCTAGGAAGGAGTACAGCAGAAAGGAATCTAGGGGTCATAGTAGACCACAAGCTAAATGAGAGCCAACAGTGTGACACTGTTGCAAAAAAAGCAAACATGATTCTGGGATGCATTAACAAGAGTGTTATGAGCAAGACACAAGAAGTAATTTTTCCACTCTACTCTGCTGATTAGGCCTAATTGGAGTATCATGTTCAGTTCTGGGCACCACATTTCAAGAAAGATATGGAGAAATGGGAGAAGGTCCAGAGAAGATCAAGAATGATTAAAGGACAAGAGAACATGATCTATGAAGGACGACTGAAAGAATTAGGCATGTTTAGTTTGGAAAGGAGAAGACTAAGAGGGGACATGATAGTGGTTTTCAGGTATCTGAAACAGTGTCACAAGAAGGAGGGAGAACAATTGTTTTTGGCCTCTGTGGATAGGACAAGAAACAATGGGCTTAAACTGCAGCAAGTGAAAGTTTAGGTTGGACTTTAAAAAAACTTCCTGTCAGGGTGGTTAAACACTAGAATAAGTTGCCATGGGAGGTTGTGGAACCTCCATCTCTGGAGATATTTAAGAGCAGGTTGGATAGGCATCTATCAGGGGTTGTCTATGATACTAGGGCCTGCCTGTGAGGGCAGGAGACTGGACCTGATGACCTCTTGAGGTCCCTTCCAATTCAATTGTTCTATTATTCTATACCCAGGATTTTAGAATAGTAAACAAAAGAAGTTTCCAGTATTTGTCACTTTGATCATTTATTACAGTACAATAAATAGAAGGCTAGTCATTAGTCTCAATATTACACAGCTCACCACACACTTATGCTTTAGAACATGATGTTATCTGTGAGCAACAGTAGGCAAAAAAGTAGCACATGAGAAAGGTCTCCTGTCCCTTACCCCTTTTTTTTAACAAGAGTTTGGATTTTGGTAAAAGAAACAGAAGTGAGTATTCAATACTATTGGTATGTCCAACACTTGTAGCTTATCTATCACAAAAGTGTACCAAAGAATACTGCAATGTCACATAGTTTAACAAATTAACTCTTTAACATATAAAGAGAGTACTGTTATAATCAATATTTTGATGCCTTGCTGGGTAATGATGATTTATATAATGATTTAGTGATGGCGAGTACATCACTTAACTCATATTCTGCTACACATACTCCTCAACTTTTCAGGGGAAAACTATAATGAATAAAACCATGGTTGCCTGTTCGTGTTCTTCCAAAGTTATAACTAATAAAGTATATATTGCACATAATGTATGCACCCTGGGACCAATTTATTATAGCTCTATATGTCAAAGTCTCTCCGATTCATATTTTTTCCATCTACCCCTAGTGCTGCACACCTGTGGCTGATGGATAAAGAATTCACTTGACTAATACATGGGAAAATTACTCTGGCACTTTGGTACCCTTCATATAAACTTTTAAAAAAATGTGTTTCAATTTTTACATGGGCTGTTAGATGCATTAAACTATATTTAATGCTTAAATACATTCCATTCTGTTCTTTTGTTAAATTAGATGATGATAAACATAATTCAAAAGTAGAACAGAAGTTACAGAATATAAAGTAAGGTGCACTCCTGCAATGTTTATGTTTTAGGATTCTCTAAACAGTTATTTAAAAAATAATTCTTAAATGTACATTCAATGCAACCGTTACACATCTCCAATAGTTAATTTCTTTGTTTAGCAGTCTGCTTGAACTTGGGGATGCTTTTCTGCTTTTACATGTTATGTAAAAAAACCCCTCAAAATAATAAAATAAAACCTTTTTCTACAATTTATGTGAGCTCCAAAATGCAGAGCCATATACATGTACACTATCTTCATAAATGTAAATAATCCTACTGAACTCAGTGGGACTGCTCATAACTGTGAAGCTGTGCCATGTTTTCAGGATCAGGTCCCTAAATAGTAAGTATTTATAATATAGTATAGAACACCAACATTAACCTTTGTAACACCTTTAAATTTCCTGTTATCAAAGAGACTGTTTTTCACAACATTTCTTTCAATGTAATCATGTCCTTAGATGTAGGAGTGAGAAAAAATTATGAGCAAAATGAGGATTGCAACGCTACAGCATGTCATCTTTGGGTATCACCAAGTCCAGTATGATGAGACTTGCTAGAAAACACTTCTGATCTGGTCATGCCACTGAAATAATTATCATAGACACACTTAGAACACTTTGTGCTGAGGAAAAGAAAAGTTGCATTGAATTTTTAAAAAGAAAATGGGTATCAGTGATTACATTGGCCTGTGACTAATAGATGTTCTAACTGATGGCAAAGGAAAGATAAAATATATTTTAATAGTTAACTTATGAAACATTTAGGCTGTGTCTAGACTACATCCCCTCTTTCGACAGAGGGATGTAAATTAGACACTTCGAAATTGCAAATGAAGTGGGGATTTAAATATCCCGCACTTCATTTGCATAATTGCGTCATGGCGCTCTTTCGAAAAAGCGCCATTTCGAAAGTAAAACTGTGGTCTAGACATGGCTCTGTAGAAAATGGCAGGGTATTTCAAAAAAATCCTGATGCGATTATGCACATGAAGCGTGTGTTATTTAAATCCCCGCTTCATTTGCTATTTCAAAGTGTTTATTTACATCCCTCTGTCAAAAGAGGGATGTAGTCTAGATACAGCCTTTAGAGAAAATGTGCCCAAAATAGTACCATTTATCATACAAGTCGTCATACTGAAATAGCAACTTTTTTGTTTGTTATACTGAAATTACCTGAAAGTAATATCTGAACACCACTTGCAGATGCACTATAAAGTACAGAGGCTTTCAAAATAAGTTAAAATCCTATTATTTAAAGGGCTACTGTTAATTAAAAGAACCCAAACACCTGGTCATGTTCAAGCCTTGGCCTTTGTTAGACTTTATGGGCAAAGAGACCTCAATGTCCTCATTCAGATATAACTGAGTTTAGAAAGTGTTGAGGTGAAAGAAGAAAGATAGAAAGGGTCAGGTACTGACCTTCACATTTTCATTTAATTCCAAAACTACTAGGTTGGGGGTTAGCTATGATTTTATTTTAATAAAGTTTTAACCTTTTCAGCCACTTTTTATACATGAATAAGTGTTTACCATCTCCATTCAAGCTTCCTCACAGCAGTTCACTATTTGTAATTACTTGAAAATTTGAATAGCACAGGGTCAGTCTTTCTTTCTTTCTTTCAGACGGCTAGTGCACTTTTATAAATGTAATTTTAATTAGGTGCAAAGCTACAGATATTGCAATAACATGTTCTTTAAAAAAAATCCATAGCCAAGACACCCTTCCTAGCAGAATGATCACTATTCTTTGCCAACAAACTCACTCTAATTTTATCTGGCTGTATTTCTGCCATACCCAGTTGGAAAATGATAGAGGATGTTGACAAAAAAATAATCTAAATAATCTAATAGTGCATCTAAATAAACTCTCTCTGTCTGTATCTCTTGTTAGGTTATGAGAAAATATAAATTCTATCATCATGGGTTTATATTGTGTATTATTGCAGATAATGGTAACAAACCATACCTATATGACTTACATTAATCATATCATTATATCAGTAATGCAGTTTATTCCTTTCTCAGAAGGCTGATGGTGGAGGTAGAGTACTTGTATAGTCTCTAGCTGCCCTCATGTGTACTTCTAACATTCATGTCTTTCTATGTAAATGTAAGAACTACAAGCATATTTTTTGTACGAGACAACACGGGTAACTGTGTATTTTAAATATGTTAAAAATTTTATATCCATAGCTTATGGAAATTCCCTCCTGTATAGAAATTTATGCATTGAGCCTCAAGATACATAATCAAGGCTAAAAATGTTTGTGGTGGGCCTCAATCTACTTAACACAGAGACTTAGAATAGAGGTTTAACTGAGCATAGGGTTTTTATACTTTCCATCTCCCTAGTGTTAATGCACAGTGGCAGGATGCACACAGATAGTCAGTCTACAATTGGCAAGTCCAAGGATAGATTCACACTCTAGTTTGCCACAAACAGAATGTCCATGTTGATGAGCCCCAAGGATTTTCAATGATTCCCAGCCATAGGATGTAAGATCCTGTTCCTGCAAATGGATCCACCTGATCTAGGTGGATTCTTATACCAATGGGTCAAAGTGGGTCAGTTCTGGCACAAGAGTCAACTCTTGTAGATCTAATTGCAGACTCAGGGCTTAAGTTCTCTCCATGCAACTCCTGACCATCTCCATCATATTCATAGCCCAAATGCTATGACCTCCAAAGTAAGTATTTCCACAAGTTGTAAGAAATCTAGTGTGTACCATATTAATTACATTCTCCATCTCTGTGTCTTACACAATGAGAACCCCAGGGACATTTCTAAATATACCATTGTCACAAGGAGCTGTGCAATAATTGAAATAGAACCCTTTGGTCATAAGGACTAGATTTCCCTAGAATTCACCTGTCTAGAATGCAAAGAAAGTTGTTCAAGAGATCTGTTTCATCTTTGGAGTTTAACCTTCACTAAAGAACCTGGAAGGAAATAAACGTGTCACATAATACATATATTCATACACTACCTCCTGTATCATGTTGCATTTCCTCAGTTTTGGGAAAGAAGACTCTCATTACACCTGTGTTGATATAAATCAGAGGCAAGTTCCGAGATGTTAGAGTATGAGTCCTCATGGGTTGGCCAGGTGATTTGCTTTTCTCTTTTTGATTCTTTGGCAGACTTGCTTGAAATATACTTGCAATTGCATTAAGCAAAGGAAAACATAGGACAACATCAAATGCCTGAGCAGAAAGAAGGATCTCATGAAGAAAATGAGGAGAACCATCATTAAGACCTTCAGATAGCTTATAGAAAGTTCTTCGTTCATTTCTTGATATCAACTTGTGCCGGACATTTTTTGTCACAGCCTTTGTATAAGTGAGAGAGAGAAATCCATGTTGTTGGTGTGACCCTTCTAAAAGTTTTGCAGTTGTCTGTTTCAGGAAAAAGAAACAAAAATGAACACTGCTGTAAAGAGAAGAGGTTAAATATCTTAGAAAGGAATTGCCATTTTTTAAGATAATCTTTTAAGTTATTTGGAGGGATATGTGGGGACTTCTTACTTTCTCCAAACAATAGAAGAAAAAAGTTTATTTAAATCTTTAGAAGGGCCATCTATTTCACAGTCTGACTACACATTATCACAGTACAACCCAAAGTAAACAGGAACTGCTGAATATTTTAGCAACACTAAATCATTGTGGGGGTTTTTTTCTGTTCATTTATGCTGGGCATAAACCACTCAGAACACAGGCTGGTAGCTTAATATCCCTCAAATATTACTACGCAAAATATTTCTTGAATGTCAGAAAGTCAAAATTGACCAAAATATTATCGAAAATTGTGCATAATGAGAACTATCTACGTTCCATTACCCCCTCTTCATTTTATTTCCTTTAATTCCCTCTGTGAGTTGTACCTAACCTGCACTCTATACCAGTGATGTAAAGGTAACTTTGTACTTCAAGTTTCTCCTGCAGAACACCTGTAATACTAACGGCTACACACTATACCCTAAATAATTCATATCAATACATTAAAAAAACCTTTCAAAATGTATTACTGCAAGATTTCTTTACACAGAGAGAAAGATTTCGAAAGGCATATTTGGAAGTTAAATGTATAACTCCCATTGGCTGTCAGAGTGCATTGGTCCTGACCTCTGCACCTCTTAAAAATCACCTTCAGTACAGTAATTCCTCATTTAACACATGCCTGCTTAACACGTTTTTGCAATAACATGATTTCTTTTTTAGGGAACGTTTTTTGAATTACACGACAGTCCCCGGAATAACACGATTTCCCCAGCCGGCCCATTGCCAGCAGCTGCAAGGGGCTTCCCCTGCCTCCCTGCAAAGTGGCAGAGGGTTCGCCACTCATCGCATCATTCCCCGCTGATTCCCCCTCGCCCCCTCTCCTCTGCCCCCGCTTGCAGGCCGGCAATTGGGTTTCCCAAGCTGGCCCGTCACTGGAGGCTGTGTGGGGCTTCCCCCACCTCCCTGCAAAGCGGCGGAGAGTTCGTCGCTCGCTGCGCCGTTCCCCGGCAATTGCTCCTCACCGGACGCAGTGCGGGCCCTGACAGACCCGTCACAGGGGCATACTCCCAACCCAATTCCTCTCCCCTCTCTTCCCCTTTCCTTCTTCAGAGCCAAACACCTCCCCTCCCTGCTGTAACCCAGTCCCCTTTCTCCCCCAACCTTATGTCCCAATCCCAACAGATACCACCGCTTGAAACGCAAGCCCCACCTTTTCCACTATTTTCAATGGGCATAGCATGTTTTCACTTAACACGATCATTTTCGGAAACATATCTATAGTGTTAAATGAGGAATTACTGTATCTAGATGAAACATTAATTTGCGACTCAAAGATGGCCTTGAGTGAACGACTGCAAAAGTTGAGAGTTTTAAAATAAACCTATAAATCAAGATAAATAATTTTAATAATAAAGGAAAGCAAATAAAAATCAAATTGATTTTGGCATGATATTGTATCATTATGTTAATAGTGTTTAATCACTCTAGCATAAGTATAGCAACTGCATTTTGTAAATAGAGTAGATGCTTCTTTCAACGTTTTCAGATTTCATTTAGTCAGAATCACTAATCAACTTGTTTTTATTTTTTTAACTCAAGGCAAGCACTAACTTCTTACACAAATGTAAGCTGAGAAGTTGAAAGATCATATAATTAAATGAATTGTAACAAATTAGTAATTTAGTTTATTAGAACAATTTGAAACAACTAGAATAAGTAAAAGAATGATGTATATATTCATGACAGAAAACAAACTGGAACAGAACTTCCACTAACACAAAAATATTCTCTATAATCTATCACAAAGCTAAAGATAAAAGGCCCCCATTGTAACTTGGTCAGGTCTCTACTTCCATTAATACAATGGGAGTTGGTGGAAAATTTGTATGATTTTATTTTTATTAATTTTTTATTTTTTTCATTTCTGTGAATATGAGAAAATGAATACATAAGGCTTGTCTACATCAGGGAAAAGACTGCACTAGTTACTCCTCGTACTAAGTGAAACTAATATGCTTCAGAATGTACTAAGGTTCCATCTACTCAGCAGGGCTTAACTCCAAATAAGCTGTGCAAATTGAGCCACATCAATTGTGTAGCTTATTTCGAAATAGCTTATTTCGAAATTGAGAGCGTTTACACAGCACTTATTTCAAAATAGAGCATTCTTCCTCAGACTTCCCTTACTCCTTGTACAATCATGGTTACAGGAGTTGGAGTAAGAAGTCCTCCAGCTTGACAATATTTTGACATTATTTTGAAATAAGTGCTGGCTGTGTAGATGCGGACTAAGTTATTTCGAAATAATACTAGCTTTTTTTTTTTTAAATAATGTTGCAGTGTAGATGTACCCTAAGAAAAACTTCCTTAAAAACACTCAGGCTATTATTACACTTGTGGTGGCACGAAGAGTACAAATATTATATGTACCTCCCAGCACAGGCATAAATTTCAGTATGCATGGTTTATTATAATTATTGTATATATTGTAAATAATATACATGAATTAATTAGTTTAAGACATATCTTAATTACACAAAAAAATAAAAGGTACTAAAAATATTGTTGCAGCCACCACAAACAAGGTACAATGTACAATACTGGCTTTTGTTCACACAGCTGAACAATCCAGAAAACGTTTCCATGCATACTTATCTTTAAAATATGTAAGCAGTCCCACTAATTTCAATAGGGCTACTAATATACTTAAGCTTGCACACATGCTTAAGTGCAGTGTGTAATCGGGGCTGTAGTTAATTTAAATAAGCCGTTCTAGATTTTCCACCTTTCCCAGTAGCAGTGGTATTGATTTCAAAAGAATACAAAGGACACTGCTTCCTAGGCGTAGGCAAAGGAATTTGTTAATTGTAGCCAGAGACCAAAAGGGGAGTAGAACAGATAATAAATATATTCAGTAAAGACAAAATGTAAATGACAAAAAATTGGAAAAAGCTAATGACATTTGAGAAATTTTCTCTCCTACTGGTGCTTGTTAATGGAAGTTCTGTAGCATAAGTTTTAAAAGGATTTCTTACAGGAGGAAAGAAGCCAGAGAAATTACTGAAAGGGTCCTGCTTGCTGACGGGTCGAACCAACAAGGTACGTCTGTTCAGCTTGTCAGTACAGGAAAGGAATACACCTCCATATTGCCCCAGAGACCAACAGTCTTCCCCAAGGCTTGAGGTGATGAATAGAGAGGAGGAAAAAGACAAAAAGAAAAAAACAAAACAAAACAAAAGCCATAAGCCAAAAAAATTAGAATTCTAAATTATGCTGAAATTGGCATAGCTCTGAGCAGTTGTGAGATACAGCACGTCAGACACACCTTCTGAATTTCCCAAATTCAAGAAAATCAAAAGAAAAAATGGCATGAAAATACTAATTTGAAAAACTGTAATTTATGGGAAAGGGCAACTTAAGCAAGTAGTAATGGAATTAAAATCTAATAGAATTCAGTACACAAAGCCGGCTTATCACGTAATTTTCTCGGAATTAAAAATTCAGCAAAAAAGCTTTAGTAGCATGGAAGAGGATGATTACAAGAACAAACAAATTGAGAAAAGAAAACAGTATCCAATTACATTTCAAATTTGGAGTACTTGTTCATAAACATAAAATTGGTTATGAAGAGGTAAGCTTTTGTTTTGTATTATAATTCTTGCAATCATTCTTCTAAACATGTCTGAGAACAAAGAAAAAGTATATTGTTCAAGTTTTAGGACAGAGTTATTTTGTTAAGCATCTTATTCCACTACAGAAATCTCACCACAAGTTTTTCTTTGCATTGTAGAAATATTCCTTCAGAATGTCCTGACTGCCAGCCTTCCCCTGGCCTGGAAAACAGAATGTTCACCTTATCTGTTCTCTGCATTTGGTTTGAGTCCACAGATTTTAGTCATATATAGAGTGTACTTTGAATAGTTTATGAATTAAAACTGGATTTGACAATGCAATTATGCTAAGCGGAGTAACTTAATAACCTGATATAACTTTAGTAAAGAAAAGAACACTACTAATGAAGCTTCAGGCTATTCAGAACAAAGAATCTCTCTAAAGCCTTTCACAGAACCTGTGAAAAAAGTAATTTATTAATAATATGATGGCTTGTTGTATGATAATATATCTAAGAGCATCATAATATGCAGCAGAAGTTTCTAGAAAGAAATGTAAGCTGTAATTATTACAATATGTTCAAACTAATATATATTTCTACTTCAGAGAAGAGAAAGAAAAGGTTCTACTTTTCATAGACAACCTGAGGAGAGGGTTACTCACCCTCTGCAGAATAGTGATAGAAATGTAGCCGTGTTAGTCTAGGGTAGCTGAAACAAAATACAGGACTATATAGTACTTTAAAGACTAACAAGATGGTTTATTAGATGATGAGCTTTCGTGGGCCAGACCCACTTCCTCAGATCAAATAGTGGAAGAAAATAGTCACAACCATATATACCAAAGGATACAATTTTAAAAAATGAAAACATATGAAAAGGACAAATCACATTTCAGAACAGAAGGAAAATGCGGGGAGGAGGAGAGGGGAAGGTAAATGTCTGAATGCAGGGAGGAGGAGAGGGGAAGGTAAATGTCTGTGAACTAATGATATTAGAGGTGATAATTGGGGAAGCTATCTTTGTAATGGGTAAGATAACTAGAGTCTTTTTTTAAGACCCCAGCGTAAAGTGTCGAATTTTAGCATGAATAACAGTTCAGAGGATTCTCTTTCAAGTGCAGTTTTAAAGGCTTTTGAAACAGGATGCAGGTAATTAAGTCGTTGAGACAGTGTCCTTTCTGGTTGAAATGGCAAGAAACGGACACTTTCGGCACATGATAGCGTAGATTATATTTCTGGATGCGCAGGAATATGTGTTCTTGATCTTATAACTCACTTGGTTAGGTCCAATAATGGTATCAGCAGAATGAATATGTGGACAAAGCTGGCAACGGGGTTTGTTGCAAGGGAAGGTACCAGGGTTGGTATTAGTGTGGTATGTCCTGTGGTGGTTGGTAAGAATCATCTTGAGGTTAGGTGGTTGTCTATAGGAGACTATGGGTCTGTCTCCCAGAGCCTCTTTGAGTATGGTATCCTGTTCCAATATAGGCTGTAGTTTATTGATAATGTGTTGGACAGGTTTAAGTTGGGGGTTGTAGGTGATGACAAGTGGTGTTCTATTGTTGGTTTTCTTGGGTCTGTCTTGAAGTAGATGGTTTCTAGGTATTCGTCTGGCTCTTTCAATTTGCTTTTTTGTTTCTCTGGGTGGGTAGTTGAGATTTATAAATGCTTGGTAGAGATCCTGAAGCTTCTGGTCTCTGTCAGTGGGGTTAGAGCAGATGCGGTTGTATCGAAGGCCTTGGTTATAGACGATGGATCGTGTGGTGTGTTCTGGATGGGAGCTGGATGCATGTAGGTAACTGTATGAGTCGGTGGGTTTTCTGTAGAGAGTGGTGTCTAATTTTCCATTGTTGATTTGTACGGTGGTGTCCAGGAAGTGGATCTCTCGTGTAGAATGGTCCAGGCTGAGGTTGATGGTGGGGTGTAGGTTGTTGAAATCTCTGTGGAATATCTCCAGTGTTTCTTGGCCATGTGTCCAGATCATAAAGATGTCATCGATGTACCGTAGGTAGAGGAGGGGTGAAAGGGGACGGGAGTTGAGGAAATGTTGTTCTAGGTCAGCCATAAAGATGTTAGCATACTGTGGGGCCATGCGTGTACCCATGGCTGTGCCGCTGATCTGGAGGTATAAGTTGTTCTCAAACTGGAAATAATTGTGGGTGAGAACAAAGTTACATAGGTCTGCTATCAGGTTGGCAGTGGTGTCCTCTGGGATAGTGTTTCTAATTGCTTGTAATCCATCTTCATGTGGGATGTTGGCGTATAGAGCTTCTACATCCATGGTGGCAAGGTCACCCTCTGCAGTAACTAATATTCTTCAAGATGGGTGTTCCTGAGGGTGATCCACCTTAGGTATTTGGGCACCGTCAAGATGGAGTGGATGAGAACGGTATGTGTCGAGCGCATAGTGCATCACGAAAGTAAGGATGGACGACCAGGTAGCTGATTTACAAATATCTAATAGGGGAATGCCCTGTATGTATGCGGTTGATGTAGCCATGGCTCTGGTTGAGTGTGCATGAAATTGTGGAGGCAGATCTTTGCCAAAGATTGAGTATGCCAGTCTTATGCATTTCATTATCCATTTGGAAAGTCTCTGAGAGGAGATGGCAAGACCCAGAGATAGTTCTGTAGCTGAAATGAATAATCTGTTAGTTTTGCGAATTCGTGTAGTTCTATCTACGTAGAACATGTTGGCCCTGGAGAGATCGAGGGTATGAAGCATTGCCTGCATCTCATTGTTGTGATGTTTGGGGAAAAGACAGGTATGTTGATAGGCTCACTGCAGTGGAACACAGTATATTTTGCCAACATAGCCATATAATTCGAGATGCGTAACTGGAGGGAGGCAGATGAGTAGCCTTTGCTCCCCATGAGATCAAGCTGTTTCCACTCCTTATCCTCTACTTTTCAGGGGGAGTGGATTTTGGTAAAGTATGTTTGGCACTCTGGTTGGCAGCATCAACTATGAGGGAAGTGGCGGGAGGCCGTGTGAAGAGAAACTCTGAACCCTGTGAGGAGGCATAATATTTTCTGTCCGCCTTTTTGCCCACTGCGATATGGTGGCTGGTGTTTGCTACAGGAGTTTAGAAGGATCCATGAGGGCAGGGTCCCTAGGTAGCACTAATTTTACTGATGGTGTAGCATTCAGGATGCTAATGAGTTTATGTTGGGTGTCATGCTATGTCATTAATGAGATCTCTAACACATCAGCCAACCTTCTACACAGGTCCTGAAAAGCTGAAGTTACTCACCCTTTGCAGTAATGATGGTTCGTCGAGATGCGTATCTCGTGGGCACTCCACTGTAGGTGTTGGGCTTGTGCTGATGCCGCAGATCAGAGATCTTTCCTAGCCGTAGTCCGCCGGATCGCGCATGCGTGAAGCACGGCTCATGCCTTTTCGCCCCGTTTGTGTGTGCACGGTCCGGCTCCCGCCAATTCCTTTCGAACCTCTTGGTCTGAAAGACATAACATAGAAATACTCCAAAGAGGGGAGGAGGGTGGGTCATGGAGCACCCACGGGACACGCATCTTGAAGAACCATAGTTACTGCACAGAGTAACTTCTTCTTCGAGCAGTATCCCGTGGGTGCTCTACTGCAGGTGAATTTATAGCAGTAGCTTGTGAAGGAGGAGGGTTTGGCGCTAATGTGCCGTAACCGTGGACAACATTGCTGATGCTACCACTGAGTCTGGTATGAGGAGATTGGAGATGGTGTAATGTCTGGCGAATGTTAAGTTCGACAAGCATATAGCGGCTCTGCAGATATCCTTCAGAGGTACTCCTCTGAGGAAAGTGGTGGAGGTTGCTACTGCTCGAGTTGAATGTGCTCTTGTTGTTAATGGTAGTGGCTTATTTCACAGGCACGTCCAAAGTCCGGCCCGCGGGCCAATTGCGGCCCGTGTTCCGGTTTAATACGGCCCCCGCTTCCTCCCCCTCTCCTGGCTACCCGGCGCTCTTTTGAACTGGCGCGCCCAGCGCGCTGCTTCCGGCCGCGCCGCCGCCGCCCATGGCCTCCGCGGTCCTAGAGCCTGCCCTGTAAGGCACGTCCGCAGCCCCGCTCCCCCGCTCGGCTGCAGGTTCGCCCTGCCCCCTGGGCCGCCGTGAGGCCGGCGTGCCCTGCGCTCTCCGCCCGCCTCCGACCCCGTGGGCCCTCCGCCTTGGGGCTGAGAGTCCGGGGACGGCCCTCACGCATGTTCACTTCTTCAAATCTGGCCCTCTTTGAAAAAAGTTTGGACACCCCTGGGGTATAGCATCTTCTTATACAGCTGACGATAATCGAGGAGATGCGTTGTGCGGATAGTGGATGACCCCTGGAATGTTCCTCAGTTGATATTAGAAGCATGTTAGATTTTCGGAAGGATCTAGTTCTATCAATATATAAAGCTAGTGCTCGTCTTACGTCCAGAGTGTGTAGGTGTGTCTGTTCCAGCGAGAGATGCGGTTTGGGGTAAAAGGTGGGCAGGATTATTGGCTCATTTATATGAAACTGTGAGTTCACCTTGAGGAGAAAAAGTGGTTGTGGGCATAGTATGATCCCCTGGCGGGTGAACACTATATGGA